GGGGATCCAGGGATTGGGGGGATCCAGGGATTGGGGGGACCCAAGGATTGGGGGGATCCAGGGACAGGGTCAATGAGCTCGTCAGGAGGGCACAACAAGTCAGGGTGAGGGGATTGGGGATCCCAAAACCCCTCAGGGATCCCCAGGGGTTGGGGGGATCCAGGGATTGGGGGCATCCAGGGATTGGGGGGATCCAGGGACAGGGTCAAGGAGCTCGTCAGGAGGGCGAGACAAGTCAGGGTGAGGGGACTGGGGGGATCCTGGGATCTCTTGGAGCTCCCCAGGGATTGGAGGGATCCCAAAACCCCTCGGAGTTTCCTGAGGATTGGGGGGGATCTCTCGGGGATCTTCCCAAGGACTAGGGGGGGATTTCCCATGGATCAGAGGGATCCCAGAATTCCTTGGGGCCTCTCATGGACTGGGGGGGGCCCCAAAACCTCTCGGAGCTTCCCAGGGATCAGAGGGATCCCCTGGGGCTTCCCATGGATTGGGGGGATCCCCGTGATCTCCCCGTGGATTGGGGGCATCCCTTGGGCCCCCCCATGTCCTGGTGACCCCTGGTGACCCCTGGTGACCCCTGGGTGCCCTTTGCCCCCAGGTCCACGCCCTGATCCTGTCATGGCTCCGTCAGGAGGTTCCCTCTGTCCTGGGCTGGGTGACCCCTGGTGACCCCCAGTGACCCTTGGGTGACCCCCAGTGACTCCTGGGTGACCCCTGGGTGACCCCTTGGTGCCCTTTGCCCCCAGGTCCACGCCCTGATCGTGTCCCGGCTGCGTCAGGAGGTCCCCTCAGTCCTGGGCACCAGCGGCCGTCGGAAGCGGCTCCTGCGGCGGCTCCCGGAGCTCCTGGCCCAGATCCAGCGGGAGCAGCAGATCCCACCCGGGGACCTCCCGGACTGCAACCGCCTGCAGGTGGGGGGGGGGATCCAGGGGGGGCCCAGGGGGGTTTGGGGGGATCCCAGCTCCTGCCTTGGGGGGATCCAGCGGCACCCGGAGGGATGGATTGGGATCCGGGGGGATCTGGGGGGGACATGGAGGGACCCTGACCCCTGGGGTTGGTGAGATCTGGTGGGATCCAGTGGGATCTGGAGGCACCCTGACACCCCCCTCCATCGGTGGGATCTGGTGGGATCTCGTTGGACCCAGAGGGATCCCGACCCCCAGTTCAGTGGGATCCAGTGGGATCTGCTGGGATCTGGAGGCACCCTGACCCCCAGACTGTTCGGATCCCATGGGATCTGCTGGGACCCAGATAGTTGGGATCTGGTGGGACCTGGTGGGATCCAGAGGCACCCTGACCCCCAGATTGGTGGGATCTTGTGGGACTCAGTGGGACCTGGAGGCACCCTGACCCCCAGATTGTTGTGAACCAGTGGGATCCCGTGGGATCCTGTGGGATCTACTGGGATCTGGAGCCCCCCCGACCCCCAGATTGGTGGGATCCAGTGGGATCAGCTGGGACCCAGATCGGTGGGATCTGGTGGGACCTGGAAGCACCCTGACCCCCAAATTGGTGGGATCTTGTGGGACCCAGTGGGACCTGGTGGGACCTGGAGGCACCCTGCCCCCCAGATTGTTGTGATCCCGTGGGATCCCATGGGATCCAGTGGGATCCAGTGGGATCCAGTGGGATCTGGAACCCCCCTGACCCCCTCCCTCCCTCCAGGAGCAGCTCCAGTCCCGGGACCTTTCCCGTCTCCCCCCCCTGAAGCGGCCGCTGCTGTCGGGGCTGGAGGAGCTCCTGTCCCGCGACCTCCCGGCCCTGACGGACCTGCTGGGCCCCGACCAACCCCCCGGGGGCCCGGCCGTGCGCGGGGGGGTCCTGGACGGCGCCGGGCCCTTCGCCGCCGACAGCGACGAGGACGACGAGGAGGACGACGAGGGCGACGCCGACGAGGACGACGACGAGTGGGTGGTGATGAAGGACAAGGCCAAGTACGACGAGATCTTCTACGGGCTGGCGCCCAGCGGGGGCAAGCTGAGCGGGCGGCGCGCCCGGGGCTGGATGGTGAGCAGCAACCTGCCCAGCTCCGTGCTGGGCCGCATCTGGCAGCTCAGCGACGTCGACCGCGACGGGATGTTGGACGCCGAGGAGTTCGCCCTGGCCGGGCACCTCATCGGGGCCAAGCTGGAGGGCAGGGGGCTGCCCGCCGACCTCCCGCCCAGGCTGGTGCCGCCCTCCAAGAGGAGGCCCAAGGGGTGCAAGGAATGAGCAGGAAATCAACCCAGAATCGCCCCAAAAATCACCCTTGGGCCTCCCCTAATCCCCTCCAAGAGGAGGCCCAAGGGGTGCAAGGAGTGAGCAGGAAACACCTCAGAAATCACCCCAAAAATCACCCTTGGGCCTCCCCTAATCCCCTCCAAGAGGAGGCGCAAGGGGTGCAAGGAATGAGCAGGAAATCAACCCCAGAATCGCCCCAAAAATCACCCTTGGGCCTCCCCTTCACATCCCTCCAAGAGGAAGCCCAAAGAGTCCAAGGAACGACCCCGAAATCGACCCAGAATCACCCCAAAAATCCTTTAAATCAGGGATCCCCCACACCCTCCAAGAGGAGGTCCAAAGGGGTCTAAGGAGTGACCCCAAAATCACGCCCAAATCCCCCCAAATTCCCCCGAAACACCGACCTCCCGCCCCCAAATACCAGAGACGCCCCCCAGAATGAAGGACACACACCCAGGGATCCCAAAAAACAGGGAACACCCCCCAAAAATGGGCACACCCCGAAAGGGACCACCCCAAAACCCCTCCGAACCAAAGACGAACACACCCCCCCAAACCAGGACCCCCCCCAGCACAGAAACACCCCCAAATCCAAGGAATTTCCCCCTGGGGCCCTCAAATAAAGGCACAGTGAGACTGAGGAGAGTGTC